ATATATATATATATATTGGTGCTCTTCACAACATAATCTCTGGAGGAAGCGGGGATTTAAGCAGAGACACACACGCTATGAGCACGGCCTACACAAGACAGAAACCTGGCACAGCAGCCGCAGCACTACGACCTGTGGTTCACTTCGATACGCCTGAGAGCCACATGCGAGCCCAGAAATCCATCCAAACGGGCCTATACCAGGAGTTGGGGCTGCCAAAAGATCCGGGTCCACAGCTGTTGGTGGTCGTTCTAGCAAGAGCAAGGATCCTAATTCAACCAATACCTCGGGGTCGTACATCCCTGAAGCCTAAGTCCTAAACTCTAAACGCCCCTACCCCCAACGGCCATCTTTTGAAACTCCCAAACGCGTGGAGTCGGGTCTCCCAAGGCGGACCTTGGACTCCCCGCAACCCTGGTAGCCTGTTGGCTGAGGCTCTAGGTCTTGTAAGCCGGGTTATGGTAACACGTAGAAGCATGATCAGAGTCCATATAACCATAGCCGTACCCCAAGTCTGAAAGCCTGCAGCCCTGAACATGGCTCAGTGGCAGCAGCTAATGAACTGTACAGCTGCCTGCAGCGTCACGGAGCGAGTAGCCAGCTGACCGACATGCACTTGTACAGCCTGTACAGTCTCCAAAGCAGCCGATGCAGCTGCCGAAGCAGCCGAAGGTACCACACGAATCCAAGAAAAAGCAGCAGGAAATGGCACATGACCAGGAGGATGGAGAGGTACAAAAAGACAACGCATATCAGACAGCCGCAAGAGATGTGGTCATGTGGGTCTGTGAAATAATAAAGGATGCAGCGGGCACGGTCGCACATGCTGAAATCAAAGGTCTTCCATTCAAAGAGGCACTCCTCAATGTTTGGCTGATAGGTACGGGTTATAGCACGCACGTCCACACACGTGCCATCTCTTCGCATGAAACAGCCGAGCCCCTCGCTGCACTTTAGCTTGCACGGCTCGCTGTATGCTGTGCACGGCGCCTAGCAGCTAGCCCAGCACCATCACGCATGTGCAGTGCATAGAGATGGGCATCCTCCAAACAGCTGCCGAGGTTGCAGCCACGTCCAGGTGTAATTGAGTGTACAGACGGATACTTTGCCAATCAGCCCCAACTGGTCAAGCCATCGCAGCGCGCTACTTGATAGGTGGAGGGGGCAGTAGTATGAGGGCGAGCATCTTATGAACTTCGAGTATGTGTGACTGTGCACCAGGGTTGTGGCAGAGTCGCGTAACTCGTGAAGGCCCCTTCTGGGATGTCCAAAATTCCATACATGGCGGAGCTTAATAATAATACTACTAATAAGATAAGAATGATGATAACAATAATAACAACAA